CATTCATTGCCTTTAATTAGTGTTTGTGTCGGACAGAGATTTAAAAGATAATCGAAATTAAATCTAATAATAAATGAAAAGTAATAACTCTTATGATGCAAATGCTGAACAATTCAAACATTAATTATAAGCGACGAGAGTTTGTATTTATATTTATTGCCTTCAGTTTAATCGCTCGAATAATTTGAGAGCTCATGCCTTGAATTTTAACGCTTTTCTGCTTCTTTTCTTTTGCCCAAAACCTATCTTTTAAATCAGATTTTATTGTCTTTTTATTAAAAATAGATTTGTTATACAATATAATTATTAAATACCTCTTTTGTGTTGTTTTGTGTTATACAGTATTACTACTGAACTATCGATAGATTGGTTTTTAAACAGAAATAGTTTTCCATAAATTTTTTTATTTAATTGATTGTTATTACAAAATATCTGTAAAACCAGTGTTTACTCAAGTGTTTAGTCTACAGTCAAGCGTTTTGTGTATTTATCGAGTATTTTACACTAAACGTGCAAAACATTGTAATTATTAATTTTTGCATAAATAAGTGCTGTTTTGAATAATTTAAGTCGACTTTTGTTTTTCATATGTGTTTTATAAATAAGATTTATCATAATTTTTATTTCTTTCGCTAATTCCTATGTCAAACATATGATTACATTTTATTAATCATTGATTTGAGTGTTTATACAAAACAAATCGGATTAAAATTATATAAAGACTTTTGTGATTCTATAATTGAATTGGAAATTATAACCTTTTAATATATTAATTTATAATTACCTCATGATCTCAATTATCAAAACAAATAAAACTCCTGTTTCTCTCTAATCAAAGTCAAGTCATTTTTATATATTTTATTCAAAGCCCTAAACACCCATTCATTTGGCTATCGCATTATATCTCATCATTTTGATGCTCTTGTCGTTAGAACCGGTGGCCAACAGATCTCCCGTTGTATTCCACGCCAGGCTTTACAATGCATTGCAAACATCATTACAATCCAAACTTTATGAGTTTCACTCGTATACATACCAATAAATGCTTCCCTTATGGTGTTTAACCCGTTTGGAGAGGACAGTTGGCTGATGGGGCACATGATCCTCTCTAAGACATTCAAATATGACATTTTTAAATCAAAATTTCGTTTTTATTCAAATTTATGTAAATCTCATTTATATATGAGCTTTAAAATCAACGGTAAATGCAAAACATATGTAAATCTCTAGACATATGTTTGGAGCATTCATTGCATGCAATCATACCTCAAAGTCCGCAACTCATGTGACTTCGGATAACCACAGAGTCTCAGTGTCTTGGAGTTGGATCCGATGGCATAGAGCTGTCCATTGGGGTGGAACTCTGCGGCTCGGATGGCCTGGGCGTCATCGAGTCGGGTGATCGGCACGAAGTGGGGTTTCCGTCCACTGAAGTCCGAGCTTTCCGATAGAGCGCTCCGGTAGGACGAGTTGGGGCCGTGCTATACATCCAGACATAGGGTGCGACAAAAGATGAATAATTAGCTGTTTTGCAGTTATTTTTGAAGTTATTTAAGATTTATTTCATTTATTGAGACAACGCGTAGGCGATAGTGAAGGTTGGGATAGGAGTTTGAAAACATTATATAATATTCAGTTTAAAAGGATTGCAAATAAATGAAACACAATTCAAGGCCAGAGGCTTAACAAAGAGATGAACAGAGAGGGAGAGTTGGGATGAGTTTTAATCAACAAGTCATTCAAAATATTTATACAAATCATTAATATGATTAAAATACACACATTTCCAATACATTTACATATTTTGGAGTTTAGTTTCATATTTAGACACCAAATGCGGAATAAATTGTTTGCAAAATTAGGAAATCATTTGTTGTGCAAAACCGAGAGTAAAGTGAATGGATTTGTATTGAATGCTGACTTCGAGTGTAAAACTGATTGCATTGAGACATCTGTGGTGTTATACACACATAGAGATACAGTAGTGATACAGAGATAGTGTAGATAAATATGAGACCAAAATTACATTATATAACAACAAAAGCCTCAATTGTTTAGCGCATTGAAGCGGGACTACAATTAAGGGGTTTTGTTGTGCCACACAATTGGGGGTGAATTGTGTTAGAAATCAGAGACAATTATACGGTAGTAAAGCACTAGAGAATGAAATGGCATTACAAACACTGTTATCAAGCATTCATTTCATTCAGCACTGTGTCTAAATTTATCGCATAATTTATAGTTAAAGTTATGAATAAAAATATATTATAAGAAATAAAAAGACAATTTTTTCGCACAAAACAAAGACATTAGCCTTTCGTAAGCCATAGGATAGTAACCATTGGAGTAATGAAAGCGTGTCAGAAGCTGTCAAATGCTATTAATTTATAACACAATTTATGTGACAATAAATTCTCGATAACTCTTTGCGTGTGTTCCGAGGATTTATTTTGTTTGTCATTCAATGCCGTTATTGGCGTTAATGAAGAGTTTGAGTATTCAAGCGATTAAATGTTGAAAACTCTCACAATATATATCATGTTTCAAATCAATTACTCAATTATTATATAATTTAATTACCACTCAATGTCTTAATATTTACTCTAAAAATTACATTTGAATAGCTATTGTATCCAATAATGACTTCAACTTATTTAGGACTCAACTATTGTCACAATTGATGGCTTTATGAGACAGAGTGAGCACTTACGAGATGACGAAAAGGAGCGCCGACTGACTCGTGTAATATTAATGGCGGTTGACTTCGGTAGGGATGGACGGGACACACGTTAGGGTCGGGTGTATACGATCGGCCATATGACGAGGTGTAGGTGTCGAATGGGGTGTCACTTCTTGCGCCGCTCGAGCTCACGGATCCGCTGCTATTCAAGTCGTAATGAACTCTCTTTCCGGACCCGGATTTGGAGAGAGGGGGCGGTGAGCCGTACACCCTCTTGTCCGGACTCAAGTACTGCGAGTCCTTTATATTGAAGTAACTGTTGCTGTGTTGCAGTATTTTGTCATCAGATGAAGATTTATCGTAAGACATGTCGTATTTCTCGTAAAATTTGTCGTCTTTTTCGTAATATTTGTCATCTTTTTCATAACATTTGTCGTCGTTTTCGTAATATTTGTCATAAGTTTTGTCGTAATATTTATCATAAGAAGAAGTGTAAGATTTGTCGTATTTATCGTAAGCATTGCTATCATAGGTATTAATCTTATCATAACTGGAGGAATAGGAGTCGTATTTGTTTGAAGTGTCGTATTTGTCATAACTGGATGAGTAGTCATCGGTGGTGAATTTGGTGGACGGGTTACCGAACAAGTACTTCGATGTACTTCTACCGGAATAGTCGGTATTCTTGAGACCAGTGATGGGCAGTCGGGTCGGGATGTCATCATCATCTCTCAAAATCTTATGATAAAAACTGGAACTGCTTTCTGACACATAATTCTTATAACTCGGCGACGAATACATAGTTATTATTATTATTAGCTCTTAGGACACAATCAGATGTCAAATCGGACTCAAGTACTGCGAGTCCTTTATATTGAAGTAACTGTTGCTGTGTTGCAGTATTTTGTCATCAGATGAAGATTTATCGTAAGACATGTCGTATTTCTCGTAAAATTTGTCGTCTTTTTCGTAAAATTTGTCGTCTTTTTCGTAATATTTGTCATCTTTTTCATAACATTTGTCGTCGTTTTCGTAATATTTATCATAAGAAGAAGTGTAAGATTTGTCGTACTTATCGTAAGCATTGCTATCATAGGTATTAATCTTATCATAACTGGAGGAATAGGAGTCGTATTTGTTTGAAGTGTCGTATTTGTCATAACTGGATGAGTAGTCATCGGTCGTGAATTTGGTGGACGGATTACCGAACAAGTACTTCGATGTACTTCTACCGGAATAGTCGGTATTCTTGAGACCAGTGATGGGCAGTCGGGTCGGGATATCATCATCATCTCTCAAAATCTTATGATAAAAACTGGAACTGCTTTCTGACACATAATTCTTATAACTCGGCGACGAATACATAGTTATTATTATTATTAGCTCTTAGGACACAATCAGATGTCAAATTGAACTCTTATTTTGCACTTAAGGTCTCAAAATCTAAACGAAAATAATAATCGCGTTTATGTCTGAAGTTTAAGGCAAAGAGATTTAACAGTATAAGTGACGCAAATGTTATGGTTTGAAGAGTTTTCACAATAAAACAGTAGTTTTTTAATACAATAAATAACAAGTTATAAGTTATATAAAAGCTATAAATGGGATATTCATTTCATACAATAGTAAACAAAACCTTCAATGATATGGTTTGGCTATCGGACCGAAAGAGCGTAAAGAATTTGTAGGCAAACCTACTGTTTGTGTTGTGAATAAGTCTTATTAAACCATACGATTCGCTACGACTAACGTTTTGAATGAGTTTTTTTGAAACACAAATCTAAACACAAAAATCTTTTTTATGTTACAGAATATTGGAAAAACTCCTTAAAATTTGTATTCAGAGAAAACACAATTGAATTGAACACAAAAGTGATAACCAGTTTGTGATTGATATCTGAAAGACTATACAAAGACTATGTTTTGACAGAATAAAGAAAATTCTGGACTTTTTATAGTAAATCAAACGATGATATTCTGTGTGTGGGCGTAGAGTTTAGTCAAACCATTAATTTTTCCCATCATTTAAATAAATAATTACCGATAAGAGAGTGGAAAGTCTTAAGATCTATGTGTTTGGGTATGAAAAAAAGCAAACCAATTACTTGATTATGTGATTGAAGAATACATTTCAATAGAACTGTACCTGGAAACACAGGTACAGGTGCTATCGCTTTAATTAATAGCACTCATTGTATACAATAAGTAGGAGAGATCTTAAGGTCACACTTGAATCCGAGCGTAACATTGAATTCAAAACATCGCGATTTTTAAGTCCAATACTCGATTCATTTGGTAAATACTCAAAAAACTTATGCCATTTCTATTACACTTAAACACCACTTAATACTTAATTCTAGGGAATTAACACAAAAAAATCTCTAATAAAAGACTATTTATACCATTCAAAAAGTAGTTTTGAATGCAAAAGCAATTATTATTTAATTTTTTATTTTACGTTCGGGTTATAGTAGTTATTTACAACTTATTTCTCTCCATTTGAAATGAAGTAAACATATTTCAAGTATTTATGTCTCCAGTATATCCGCATAAAAATTGTAATTTAGTTTTAAAAATGAGTTTATTTTTGTCCAAAATATTACATAAATCTCAGAATTGGTTTAATTATGTCTCATATGACATGAACTAAATATAGAGGGAATTTCAATCCAATTATGTCACTCTTATTAACATTCAATAAATTTTTCATGAATTGAATTTTAAATATCAAATTAGTAGTTTACTTTCGATTCATACGATATCCTAATTCAATGGAAACAATGAATTTTAATATTGTTTAAATAGTACAGAATGTTATCAAAAAAAACTGTTTCCCTTTAATTGAAAACTATTTGCTTTAAAAACAACCAGTTGTTGTCATGTAATAGATATAAAAAACGAAACAATTTCTACTCCCAGTAATTTCAAATCAAATATTGAATTTGTTTCGTAATCAAACTAAACTCAATGTCAAATATTACATTAAAAAGGGATTTGCATTCATTAGGTGTCGACAAAATGTAAGGAATCCAAGACTTACAAGACATTCAAAACATTTATCAATACTTTCAATGAACAACACTTTTTTAAGTCGAAAATCCTTAAGTTTGATGTAAATTAAAATGAGTTTATTTTTGTCCAAAATATTACATAAATCTCAGAATTGGTTTAATTATGTCTCATATGACATGAACTAAATATAGAGGGAATTTCAATCCAATTATGTCACTCTTATTAACATTCAATCATTCAATAAATTTTTCATGAATTGAATTTTAAATATCAAATTAGTAGTTTACTTTCAATTCACACGATATCCTAATTCAATAGAAACAATGAATTTTAATATTGTTTAAATAGTACAGAATGTTTTATCAAAAAAACTGTTTCCCTTTAATTGAAAACTATTTGCTTTAAAAACAACCAGTTGTTGTCATGTAATAGATATAAAAAACGAAACAATTTCTACTCCCAGTAATTTAAACTCAAATATTGAATTTGTTTCGTAATAAAACTAAACTCAATGTCAAATATTACATTAAAAAGACTAAACGTAAGTAATCCACAGCTGTTTTACATTCCTTAGGTTCTGAATGTTCTGTAAGTTTTGTAAATAGTTATGAAAGTTACTTGTTGTGAAAAAATTCAGCTTTTAGGAATTCAAACTACATTTATATAAGTAAACAGTAATGCACTGACTTTTATAGCACAGGTAGTAAATATAAAGCTAATACTCAAATCCCATGTAAACCCTAAAATATATATGAAATTCCTGTGTTTGCAGTCATGATAACAACAAAACGCCAAATGAATGGGTGTTTAGGGCTTTGAATAAAATATATAAAAATGACTTGACTTTGATTAGAGAGAAACAGGAGTTTTATTTGTTTTGATAATTGAGATCATGAGGTAATTATAAATTAATATATCAAAAGGTTATAATTTCCAATTCAATTATAAAATCACAAAAGTCTTTATATAATTTTAATCCGATTTGTTTTGTATAAACACTCAAATCAATGACTAATAAAATGTAATCATATGTTTGCCATAGGAATTAGTGAAAGAAATAAAAATTATGATAAATCTTATTTATAAAACACATATGAAAAACAAAAGTCGACTTAAATTATTCAAAACGGCACTTATTTATGCAAAAATTAATAATTACAATGTTTTGCACGTTTAGTGTAAAATACTCGATAAATATACAAAACGCTTGACTGTAGACTAAACACTTGAGTAAACACTGGTTTACAGATATTTTGTAATAACAATCAATTAAATTAAAAAATTTATGGAAAACTATTTCTGTTTAAAAACCAATCTATCGATAGTACAATAGTAATACTGTATAACATATAACACAATACAACACAAAAGATCTATTTAATAATTATATTGTATAACAAATCTATTTTTAATAAAAAGACAATAAAATCTGATTTAAAAGATAGGTTTTGAGCAAAAGAAAAGCAGAAAAGCGTTAAAATTCAAGGCATGAGCTCTCAAATTATTCGAGCGATTAAACTGAAGGCAATAAATATAAATGCAAACTCTCGTCGGTTGATTAATTACAAACTTAACAAGTCGTAAACGTAGTATTCTCAATAATGAAAAGTAAATAATAATCTAAATTAAAGCTAATAGAAAATTTAGAGACAGGCTGTGTTTGTGATTAATTTCCGTTACTTACATCGAATGGAGGGTTAGTTTTGCTGTACTATTAGTGCCATAACTGCATCTCTATCTCTAGACTACTTCCAGTGTAACTGTGATTTAGATTTATTGCAACTAATGTTTAAAAAGTTGTGGCAATTCCTGGATTTGAAAAACACATTTGAAACGAGAGATTTAAAAAATTTATATCTATTTGTCGGATATATTTCTCGGAATAGAGAAACAGAGAAATAATTTTTCTCAACAAATGAATAGATTTAGAAGTAATTGATAGTCGACTCAAAACGAAAATTATAGCAAAAAAAGAGCTAATAATTCATTTGCAAACGTGAACTGAAACTAAAGCCTACTTTTAGAAAACGGAGTCCCACTTGACGTGAGAGTGAAATTGTAATAACAAAGTGAATGAGAAGGGAATGGGATGAAAAGGAAAGCTAGTTATTAAGCGTAAGGCGCCGGTGATAAGCAATTTTCTCACATCAAAAAATTGTTAGCAAACGTATAAACAAATACATAATTCGTGTTATATATGGGAACAAAATATGAGTTAATAATGAAATAAATAGTTGAGATTAAGGGCCCGTCATTTGAAGAGCACTTACATGACAGCTCCGCAGCGATAACGTCGACTGACTTAACACCGGTATGCGAGAGGTATAGCTGTCATTAGAGGAGCTCAGACTACTGGACAGACTGGTGTTTCTCAGTTTAATAGCCTCTCTCATCGGACAGATCCGGAAGTGGTGTAAATGTGGCGACCGTTCGGCCGACCGCCACATAATTAGACTCGCGTTCAGTAAATGTCATTCAAAGCCATAACATCTTATGAGACATCCATTAAGTCTTAAATGTTATTTCATTCAGAAAGGGATTCCTTAATAGTTTAGAGCAAAGTCACAGCTGTTATTACTTGCATTCAAATTATACATTCATTTAAAATGACTTCTCATTAATAACCATATATTTTGGTGAAACTGTTTTCAGTATTGAATTCTTGTAAATTCACTCATCAATTTAATCAATAAATCAGTTTTCAATTTATTAGGCAAATAGTTATTCAATTTATATCAATTTCAAAACTCAATATAAACTCAAAATCAAATGTGTATTACAATGTTATTTAATGACACGAAAAGTGTATTATATTTTTATTACATAAAACAGTTAAAAACACTTTTATCACAATTTTTGTTAAATATATATTAAAACAAACAGCTATTTTATGTACTATTGTTTGTCTATTAATGATTAAAATCTTTTTGAAATACTGTTTTATATTGTAATATAAAAACTACAAAATTGCGATATGTTTGCGGTATTGATATAATAAGTGTGTATTTGCGGTGATATTAATGCTAATAATAAATGAATAAATGTATGAAATAATCATAAAGGGGTCCAATCAGGCATCGCATTGAATGCATCGATTGTTTTCAATACTCGAGACAAATATCGTGACATTCAGTCCGCAAAGACTAGACATAGAAGTGGTGATAGCCTTGCATTAGTTAGGCATCACTTGTCCTTCCAGTGCACCAAACAATCGGAC